GTGACCTTCTGCAATTTTAGAAAAACATACAAGATTTATTTTGGCATTTCTTATCAAAAAGAGCCCAGTTTGCTTTCAAAGTCCGCTCTCTGCACTTTGTTTAATCTATGAGCTGTTAAAAAAAAAAGAAAAAAGAAAAAGCTACATGAGACATGATTTGGGAAAAGAGAATAGAATGGTAAACATCAGCCTTGCACTATATTAAAGATATTTTACTTCTAGTTTTTTAAGGTCTATAAATGAAACTGTAATGGACATATATTGGTTCCAAAAAGCATTTTAAAACTAACTACCTTTCAGTTGTAGAGGTCACATTTCACAATCCTTTTCTGCCTCATTGTGATTAAAGCACAAATATCTAAAGATAACTAAGGAAAAGCCATATACAGGAAGGAAATGAGTGGTTCATTGACTTTGAAATTCTATAAAACAATGAAGAAAAGTTGAGCACAAAGCAAACTGGATTACATTGTAGAAGAATGCTTATTTTTCAGTTACAGAGGACTCGCATTTGCAGCTGTTTACAAAGTACAATATACAAAAGATCTCAGTCCTTCATTTGTTGAAACCAACTGGAGCTTCTCCAGTAACTTTAAGGAAAGTAGGATCAGATGTCCAAAAATGTCAAGGGAAAATGAATATCTAATACAGTCCTAGGCATGTCATAAAGGTTTTAAGAAATATATCCCTTTGCAAAAAGCCTGCACACGGTCTATACACTGTTTATAGCCCACTGAACTCTTCCAAAACTACATATCCCACATCTGGCATGACTTAAATCCAGATGTGTTACCAAATCTGCTGCTAGATACACAGCAGCCTGATTTGGCTGGATGCTTATGCAAATCTGATGGTGTGAGTGCACATATAACCCAATGACATGAATTTGAGTTTGATATTATACTAAATATCAAATCTTGAAAAGAAAACTCAGTGATTTAATTCACTGAAAAGCAGAATCCCTGTAACGCCGACCACAAAGAAAATAAGAGCCCAGTCTGAAATTTTCCAAAAAAATGGAGGGATATAGACTTTCAACAATAATTCTATACACCAACATGCACTCAGAAACCTATTATCATTAAAAAAAAAATTTGTGTTACAGTTGCACTTGGAGGCCTCAGATGAGGATCAGGACCCCAGGCATTATTATATAAACACAGAACAGAAAGCTGGCCCCTGCCTCAAGGTGCCTAAATCTAAATACTGATACTACTCAAATAAAAACTTACAATTTTGCTTTAGGAAATTCCAAGTTTGAGAAGCAGGCTCTATATGGCAAAATACAAGGCACTGCTTTGGAAGGAGATATGTGTTACTATTCCATTTTATCATTTGTATTCACAGTCTGTGCTGCGCTGGGCACTGTCCGTAGATACACAAAATATTACTGATATTAAATAGACTAGTCATTTAAAACATAGTTTCTCAACCTGTGGTACATGTACCCCTGGGGGTACACAAGACACAGGCAGGGGGTATGCAGGTACCCCAATACTCTCTCTCGCCTTCTTTTCCTCTCTTTCTCACCCCATCCTCCTTTCAAAACTATGGCAAAAAAATTGGTGTGCTGCACACTGCATGGCACTTTAAATTCCCCAGTAATAATTTGGCATGCCACACTTTGCGCAGCACTGGGTTCAGCCCTCCTAGCTTTGGCCAACATCACCTTTAGCCCACGTACACACTTGAGTTGTGCACCCCTGGTGTAAAAGGTGGCAACTCTACCCACACCAGATCAGACATCTGTCATATAACGGCCTTATATACACAGCCCTTCTTCCAACATGTGGCACACATTAGTCTGTAAATATAAAATCCCCTGGAAAATTGAGTGTTGGTGTACTTAGTAAAATTTTCAGAAGTTAGGGGGTACTTTCTCCTTAAAAGGTTGAGAAACACTGAACATATTCCTGGGCAAACTAATTTATATTGCCCACAAAGTCAATAGGAAATTCAAAATAACCATAACAATTTCATGCAAGTACTTACCAGCAAATTGTTGGCATGTTAACAGTCATGACAAAGAACAATGGTGACAAGCCAGCTGTGATAAGCTGTGAAAAGAACAAAAGAACCTGTTATAATTACAAGCTGCAACATCTTTCCTGATAGTAACTTTTTGTAATTGTGCTCACACTAATTATTTTCTACCCAACAGCTCTATAATCCATGCACAGGGAGAAACCCAGGGAGATGAATTATTAATACATGAAGCTACTATTCCCAAACTTTGCCCGTGACACACAGATGGGACACACAGGCACCATGCCTTTTCCCAGACCTCTAGTGAGTGGGACTCTGGAATCTGAACAAGCAGCAGCCATTTAACAAGCCAGCCAGAAGCAGTGGGGGACTCTGTACAAAGTGGCTGCCCCAGGAGCTGGGAAACCATGTGTATATGACCAATGGACAAAGCAGCCAGGTTTAGATTTGTGTGGAATATGTAGTTTGCAGCACAAATTGGACAAGCAGCCAGTAGAGATGGCACCCTACTGAACACACAACTATGTAATGCTGCACTGGAAATTTGCAAACTCCTACTACCCTTAGCAAAGACCAGACTGGAGAGGCATAAGAAACACTGGTCCAGAAGAGCCTTAAATCTCATTAGTCTACTTCAAACAGGCCAAAAATCTGTCCTAAGCCTAGGTCACACATTGGGAAGGATCCAAATAGAAACTGCATGTGCCTAAGCCCCAGATCTTCAGGTATTTGCAACCTTCTCCAGCCTTGTCTTTTTTGTCAGGCCTAGTGAAATAGCCAATTAGCCATGCGTCTGTGTTGTTACTGAGACATGCTACAACTAATGCCTGTATAGCCTGGTGTCTGAACAGCTTTTGGTGCGTGCCTCCCAGCTCTAGTACACCTGGCAGGTTACTAGTACCTGAGTGGTATGGTGCACCAAACCATTAGTGTCTGTAACACGGACTCCAGGAAGCAGTAAAGGTAGAACAGACATGAGCATGATATGAGATTGTGCATTAGACATGAATTTGAAATGGAGTACTGCAAGGGAGAAAGAAACCAAGTCATTTTGTGCTCTCAGTAACAGTGGTTTTTGAGGATGCCATGGGGTGCTGCAGGATGCCATGTAAGGCTACCAGTGTTTGGTGTGCAAACATGATTCATAAGATAAACCTCAAGAATTCAAACAGGCATCCATACCATTAAAAGCATCCTGACCTATTATGGTCTTTCTGAGTTGTTTGCAATTAAAAAAAAAATTGTTCTATTATTCTCCTTAGTCAAAAAATGAGTGAAAGCTAAGAGTTGGCATTTTCTGAGGAGTGCCTTGAGTATAACAAAGGAACAAAGGGTGCCTTGAGTTTAGAAAGGTTGAGAACCACTGCTGTATAGAAACATCAGGCAAAGAGTCCTTGTTGACAAGTGAACTGCACTCAGGATAACCCACGAGGATGAGAAAGGGGAAGCGGCTTTAAGATATTTTTAGAGTGCTCTGATCCTAGGGGCAACCAGAAGCTGCACCAGTTCTCATTGGAGATGGCTGGCTACCTCTGTCCCAAAGAGCAGTTCTAACATCTAGGGATATAATGATATGGCTTCCATGTACAATGAATGGCTCTTTGATCAGCCCATCTTCCTCCAAACTACCTCCTGGCACATAGGACAGGTGTCAGAATTGTTATGCTGGCCCTATCCCACTATCAGAAGAATCCCCCTGCAGAGAAGCAGAACCCTCGGAAGCAAGTTAAGCACTCCATCCATGTCCCCTTTTTGCCCTGGCCCTCCCACAGTGCCCTGCACTCTAGGAGGAAAGTATGGATCGATAGCGTAGAAAAAGATTTATGTTATCTGAGGACTGTCATAAATTAGGGGAAACTAGCTGCCCTGCACTAGAGCAGTGCAAAGCAGGGAGGGCCAGGAGCTGGGTTCTGATCCAGGATATCTTATCATTAAAACTGTGGACTCACTGTACAGTTACTCAGCGCAGAGTGAATGGTATTAATATGGCCATGTGTATTTCTAATGGACATCCTCTATCCTTCCATCCTTCTAAGGTATATCATAATACAGACAAGTTTTTAGCGTCCAGAACGGTAAGGATACTGGTCCATTAGGAAGCTTGTAAGAAGACTGCCAGGAGAAAATGGGCATTTGGCAGGAGCAGGGGCAGACAAGTTACAAACAGAGTTGTCTCACAGTTTCACCTCTCTTTTAGTTCTTTAAAAAGTTAATCTGTTCCTGAAGGCTGACTATGGCCTCTTTACTAAACCCACAAACAACATGGAAACTAAGGAAATAACTAAGCTTCCTCTCCATCAGCACAACCCATGGCAAAACACCTATCTGACATACACATGGTACTCAGTCCTTCCTTATGTCCATATGGCAGTGAAAACACAAAGACAAAATAAAAGATCCTAACTGCAAATACATCAAAGGCTTTATGATACCATAGGCGTTAGCATGCAATTGAGGTGAGTAGAGAATAGCATAGTTCACATCTCTGAGAAAGATTGTTGGAGAAGTCACAGCAACAGTTCGCTTTCAGTTCCCATTTAGAAGTTACTTTTGCAACCAGGAGCAATAGAAGTTTTTAAAAAAAAATGGAAGTCCAAATATTATATAGCCTGAACATCTGATGCAGCTTACATAAATAGACCTACTTCTGGACACCTTTACTTTAGGATTCTGCAAATCAAAATCGAAGATCCTGCCCCTGATCTCTGGGTGCAGCTCTCATTTTATATATACTCCTGTAACGCCATTGACTCTAGAGGAATGGCTCTCAATTTACACCACTGTAAATAATAGAAGAAACATATATTGAGCTTGTGTCAGACAGGTCATGGATAAGGAACTCAAGTGCACAAGAACTAAGCATGTGAACAGAAACTGTGGTAGTTACAGAATTCCTTCTCTTTATGTTTCCTGTTCTCTAATTATAGGGAAATAAAGTGTCATATTTTAAAGTAAGAAGTTGCAGTTGTGTCACTGACTCCATTATAGAGTCATGTTTCCTGTAAAACTTGTCAAGTTGCCAAATAATAGGGGAATAAACATATGAAAATCTCTTTGAGAACAGCCCTAATAAAAATAACATATAATTCTACAGTAATCAACCCAAACTTTCCCACAACTGCTTTTGTAGGATTCAGCCTTTTGAACAATAACTGTAGAACATTAATGTATTTCTTTTACACTGGCATCCTTCTTGCTGCAAAATAAAAGCAAAATGTGAACAGCTGAGAACACGTGCATTTAGTCAAGAAAAAGCAAAGGAAAAACACTCTATACATAGACATTTCCAGTTTACGTTGTTTATGTGAAGAAATCATTCTCAGACTGTAAGTGGACAGCCCAACCCCCTCTGTCTCCTCTTCACACTGCCTGGTTGCTTTAGTAACCGAGCCTGGGCACCTAAGGGGAGCTGGGCTGGGCTGCAGAGATTCTTTGTCCTAGTTTCCACCAAGATACCTGCATGACTCTGCTGCCTCCATCTGAGGGTGCTGACAACTGTTAAAAGGATTGGTCTGCATCATGTAGACCCTGTTTCTGGTTGGGAAGTAGTGATGAGGTCACAAAAGTTTTAAAAGGGGTCACTCCATTTTGGAGGCAGTCAGTCATTTTGAGACGCTGAAACAAGCAACAAGCATCCAGAGCTCCATCAGTCTCTGGATGAACATGCCAGTAACTTACCTGCAATTTAGCCAGTAATTTAGGATTAAGTGAACTAGACGCGTATCAAAAGGGCCAACAAGCCTATTCTGTTTTGCTCAAGGTGTTTTGTTTTTTTCTTTTGATATTTCTCTGTCTTATACCTGCGCCCCAGGCCTCTTTGATCAATAAAGCTATCTGTTATAGCACGCCTTGCTGAGTGTGCTTGAGAGGGGTGAGGAAAGCCTTTTTAGCTCCCTTTTGCTCGGCTGGCTATGGTGGGCGTGGCTTTTTACCTTCCTCCCATGTAGGAGGCTACTTTTGAATGCTTCAGGCTAAAAGGAAGCACCCCAAATTACCATGATGGGTTAAGCACCCCCCAAGGTCTACAGGGTCTGTGCATCCTAGGCTGCACAGAGCCCTAACAAAGACCAAGGCCCAGGTGGTGGCAGTGGTTAGCCCAGGCTTGCAGGTATGCTCCAGGAAGGGGGCCAGCCCCCAGGGGAAGCACCCAAAACATGGTTTTGGGGGCAGGAGAGCCCCCTACTGGCCCAAGTTTATTTTAAAAGGTTAAATTTAAAATAAAAAATGAATATTCAGGGAAGTCAGCCATACAATGTGTTCAAGGATAAAACTAGGTATGCATGGTTCCAGCCTGGAATCTATTTTTTCTTTTACTTTTCTAGGTTCCAATAAATGCTAAAAAGTCCTCTATCTACATGTGTTAAATGTCCTTAATATAACTTTTAAAAAAAAGTGCTAAGTGTAGGAATCTTTTTTTCCTGTTCAAACAAGTCCCTGCTTTTACACTCACAATTTGCTGCCACCATTTTCAAAGTCCTAGGAAAAAAGATCAGCCTTCCCATGTAAACAAAAGTTTACCATTTCAAAATCTATTTTGCTGCATTATCACTAAAACTGATATATGAATATGTTAAACTTAAAACTAATGATCAGCAGCATATTACAAATCAAAGTCCTTTTTCTGCAAAGATGTATGCACATGCCTGAAAAAAAAAAACCTCTCAAAGTTACAGTAAAATGATATTGTCTGTTATGTAGTGGTCAAACTAGATCAAAATGGCTCTTTCTGGCCCTTAACCATATGGGGGGGGGGGGGGGGGGGAGATATGAGTAATCCCACTAATTTCAACAGGACTATTTACATGCTTAGAATTAGACGTGTTGCAGAACTGGTGTCCAAGCAGCTAAACACAAGCTATTTGAACTGTCAGTTATAAAAAACATCTCTATAACATTATGGAGTATCTTCTTTTTCAGGAAAAATCAATTTGTAGCCATCGTTTAACAAAGCATTAGGTGTAACTTGAAATTATTACTGAAAAATAAGTACAAACCTTCCCTGCAAGAAAATTTTAAAGGGTTTTGGTTTTTTTTAAGTATGTACCAAAGAGAAATAAGAACGTTCCTTATT